TATCTCGCATGGCTGGGTTGAAACACACATCGATGGGCGTCCACCCTCGGGAAGCGCACTTCGAACAGTCGCTGCTATTTGTGAACGATCCGATGGTTCCACGTGGAATCGAGCGTCTTGATGGAGAATTGGTGGTTTTGATGTTCTGTGTGGTCACTGGTGTGTGTCTCGAGTTTGTGCTTGTGGAATCAAGCGTCTAGATGCGGAATGGCTGGTTTTGATGTGTCACTGATGTGCATCTCGAGTGGGTGCTTGTGGGATGGAGCGTCTAGATAGGGGATGCCTGGTTTTGATGTGTTGTGCTGCCACTGATGTGCGTCTCGAGTTTGTGCGCCTGGAATCGAGCGCCTAGATGGAGAATGGCTGTTTTGATGTCCTGTTGATTATATTATATGCTCTTGTTATCCTAGAAACCGTCTCGGTCACCGCGTTTGGCGCTGGAGACGCACCCCTCCGCCACCGCACACGCGTGCATACACTCACACTCGCACACATGCTTTGCACAGGTTTACGGTTTGCGCGTAAGCATCAAGGTTTCGTGCCTCTGCCGAGCATGAAACCAAACCAAACCAAGCAAGGCTGCAGACTCCATACTTGCGTGGCAATCTGCACGAACGCTCGGTACTTTGATCTCGGGTGTGTCCGACGAGGCGGCTTGAGAATGGCGCATGTTGCCCCAAAGATCAGTACTGGATACGTGGACAACGATTGAAGTTAGAGTAGCTTCTGGTTTGTTTAGAACGGGATTTGCCGTCAGAACCTTAATGAGGATCTCAGGATCTCTTTGGCGTGTTCGGGTTTTGAGGTGTGCCAGCACGCATCGAAACAGTTCTGACGGTTCGAAACGGTTCCAACTACTCAGGGACACTGCTGCATCTAGTTCCCAAAAATGTGTCGATAGTTCTTGAGATTTTTGCAATAGTTTCAAAGCCCTGTGTGCTGCCACACATAAACAAGCCACAGAGCATGCCAAGATTGAAGCTCCAATGCTTCTCGATACGCCGGGCTTCGATTCATTGACAACAAAACGCAGCGTCTAGTTGGCCCCTCGGTGCCAAAATGCACCCCAAATTGCAGTGAAAATTAGATGCAAAGCACTTGAAACCCCAGCGTCCACGGCTTTTCCTGCTTGCGCGACTTGGAGGCTAAAGAGAGCGTCTACGTGGGTATTAGCATCCACTCATGTGTGTTGTCGCCACTGACGTGTACTTCCTTGGAATAGCGTCGGCCCTCGGGTGATTTGTAGATTATATGTGTATTCTTGCCGACAAGTGTGAGATAAACCCTCGCTTGTAGCATGAAAACGGAAGTGAGCAGGCTCGTGCGGCCTCTTTGCACACGCTCCACAAGGCCCACAACAGCCTGAGGCGATGGGGGCGTGCCAAGTCGAGTGCAACTTTGACATTCGCCCTGTGATCATTCATCCAGGGGGCGGGTGGACTTCCTCGACAATTCCGTTGGCAAGGCCAGTGGTGGTCAGGGTTCAACCGCAGCTTTTGCAAGCCCTTAATCATGAATGACCCATGCTGAGCGCTCAGGCGGAGCATGCAGAAGTGAGCTGTGGAAGGCGTTCCGCTCTCAGGTCAGTAAGCCGTGCTCGGAAGCCAGAAGCAGTGTTGCACCAGCTCGGAAAGCGTGATGTAGAGTCTAGAGCGCAGTCGGAATGTATGGTATAAGGCACTCCCACAGTGAGCACTCGAAGGGACCTTGGGCTGGACTTCTAGGGATGACTGCCAAAGACAGCTCGTCATACCTCTCAGCCGCGACGCGAAGAAAGGATTTACCGATGCAGAACGGCATTATCGAGAAGTAGCCGTAGGAATCGACAATAGCCTTAGCCACGATTCCGCATATCACAGTCCATCATAGTCCCCATCTAGTTACCGACACTATACCTTACCCCGAACCCTATTCAGGCCCTATTCTAAGTCTTACCGCCGTTGCCGCAAGATTTACGGCTTCTGCAGTAGAAGTTTCTTCGCTGCGCGGCACGAACCTTGGAGGGGGGCTGACGGGCGAGACGTGAATCATGCCTTCCTTGAGCGAGTGATGCGAATCGAGACTCCCTTAACCCTAAAGTCCCTAAGCCAAGCCCTAAACTCCCCTAAGCTCTAAACTGGCTAAACCCCAAAGTGTTTCTAGAGGGGTTAGGCCCTAGCAGGGGCAGCAGTTCCCCACTTCTGAGCTCATGCGCAGATGCCCAACCACGGATTGCTCTGTAGTCTATGCTCCCTGCAAGGTACAACACCTATCACTATATGAATTCAACAGAATACGTGCTGCATGACTCGCTGACTAAATGACCAAATCACACTGCCTCCGTCACCTTTAGCCACGTGTCGGCACGCTGTTCCTCTCGCCAGTGCAACCTGGTCGGACAGTGAACACGCACAGTCAATCTTTGACGCCGCAACAGCTTTCTTACCGGACTGCGTTATTTTTCCCTGGTTTTAATTTTTTGATCCTGATTTAATTTTTTTTGATCCCTCACCTTTTCACGGGTTCAGGGCGCCGAGCCCTCGGTGTGGGATTTCGGGTTTCGGCAGCAAGGTTCAGGATGCGAGGGTTTAGGAGTTTACGGTTTAGCAAACTTAGGGATGAGGCTGTAGGGTTTGGGGTTTGGTAATATAGTGGCCTTAGTAATTATAATAGGAATTGGGGGGTATGCTATACTATAATTATAGTACGGAGCCCCCCCAAAACCCCATTCTGATTACTAAGGCCCTTACATTAGGGTTTTAGGTGTTGAAGGTTTTCGATTTCCTACGAGGAAAATCCTCCGAAGTTGTTTAATTAAGGCCTTTTGAATTGTAGAGTTTAGGGTCAAGCATTTTTTAAGGTCGCTGTTTGGGGTTTAGGGTTTCGGTGTTTGGGTTTAAGGTCGCGATTTGCGAAGGCTGCCCGTGCATCGCGGCGGATTTCCAATCCACCACGTACTGGCTCGGAGGCGCACGGGAGGGGTTCCTAAACCCTGAACCCTAAACCCTAAACCCCTAAACTAAAGCCTGAACCCCTGGACCCTTAACCCCTAAACCCCCGTTAATGAAGCCTAAACGCTAAACCCTGTATTGCACGGCAGCCTCCAAGCTTCCTTTTCTCTTTAAGCTCCCACAAGAAGGTCTTGACAAGCTGTCCCCAACAAAAACCAATAAGGATAGTTCTCCAAATTAGGGTCCCTTTGTGGGGTCCCCAATACAGTACGGCACCTGATAAACAGGACCCCAACAGGGACCGTAATTTAGAGCACTACTACCCATGAAACCGTATAGTACCCATAACCCCGGTAACTTACTGTGTAGGCAACTGGGTGGTTAGGGGCAGCTCCCAGAAAAAGCTCGCGACGAGTAGCTCGCCATCCTACGGGTCTACATTGGATCCGATACCCTCATACAGGGCCATACTATTTGTGGGGATTCCGCATGATGCTTGTAGTGTGGTTATTAAGGCCCCTATATTAATTCTCTCCCGGGTATAATCTAGGGGCCTTCATAATTACAGCTCAATGTACCCCAAAACCCTAGTCTAATTATGAAGGTCCCTATAATGCTGTTCTTTTGTGTATACCCTGTAATATTGGGGGCAAAAATCCCTCAACCCACCTTTTTTTTTATCGGGGTTGGGGGCCACTGGTAAGCGGGGGCAGCCAAGAACGACAGTCTACAGTTCGGCGCCCAAAGCCCGAAAAACCACCCGAACGTCTCTCTTACAAACCCTATATGCCAAGTCCCCTGAACCTCCGAACCCCGAAAGCGTCCGCTCCCCGAAAGCCCCAAAACACTACGCCTATTCCGAAAGCCACCACCCCAAAACCTCAAAATCGAAAAGCCTTAATCACTCACTAAAGCGTACAAGCATAGAATTCCGAGTAACCCTCATGATAACCCTGCAAAGAGACTTTTGTCAAGGAGCCCATCAAAAGAACTCTTTTCTATTCATATCTATTTGTTCAGCTCGCTAAATTAGAAGAGGTTTCCTGACTAGGTTCCCCAGTGCTACCCTTGTGCCCTTTTTGGATTTCCTTGTCAGAACCAAACAATAGGGAAAAGGGTGGCCTTGTTATTAAGGGGCTTTTGGGGAACATAGGTAGTGTAGAGGCCTTAAATAACGAGCACAGGGTTTTGTGTGTGTTGATTATCGTATTTTTTTCTGTAACGAGGTTGGGTATTTGTTATAGTAGCATATATTGTAGTAACTATACTTATATAATAAGGGGCCCAAGAACTGAGGAAAACTTCCCAAGACCAGAGGCCTGCCAAGGCCGACATCTTCGGACCTTGAGGTCTTTGAGTTCTTATAACCGAGTATAGGAGCCTTAGTAATTATCTATGCTATTCTGGAGGTGCTTAACTATGATTATAGTGCAATATACTTCCAAACCTTATTCTAATTATTAAGGCCCCTGTATTGGGCTTGGTCAGAGCTTACGGCTCTTTCATGTTGATCACAAAGAGGTTGCAGCCTTGCTGCGACATGCAATCACCTGGAATTCATGGAGAAGTCGCATAAAGAAAACCATATAAGAATTTTCTTGTATGATGCCTCTCGCAGCACATACGAAGTCTTAACCCGGGCCAAGCTCCCAAAATCGTTTAGAGCGCCGTCCGAAACCGGACAGTTTCGACCCGCCCTAAACCCTAAACCCCTGAACCCCTGAACCCCCTAAACCCCCTAAAACCCTTAAAACCCTATGACTCCCCTAAACCCCTATAAAGCCCTATGACTCCCCTAAACCCTATAAGACCCCATGACTCCCCTAAACCCCTATAAACCCGTATAACTCCCCTAAACCCCTATAAACCCCTATAACTCCCCTAAACCCCCGAAGCCTTGGAGTTTCGACCTTAAACCCCAAACTCCCTAAAACCCTACAGCCCTAAACTCTAGACCCTAAACCCTAAACCCTAAACTCTAAACCCTAAACCCTAAACTCTAAACCCTAAACCCTAAACCCTAAACTCTAAACCCTAAGCCCTAAGCCCTAAATTCTAAACTCGACCCAGGAGGGCTCCAGGTTCCGACCTCGCAGGGCCTGCTCCTGGGAGCTGCCGTTTTGGGAGCCCTTTTTTTTGTGTGTTTTCCAGGGGTAGTAGGGTTTAGGGTTTGGGGGGTTTAGGGTTTAGGGGTTTAGGGGTTTAGGGGTTTAGGGGTTTAAGGGTTTAGGGGTTTTGGGGGTTTNNGGTTTAGGGTTTAGGGTGTTTCCAGAGTACCAGTAGTTCTCTACCCTTTGGAGGGGTTCCTTTAATTTAAAGGGGTCTATGAGGGCTTCTATAGGGTTTCCACAAGGGTATGTTTTTGGTGTTTCCAGAGTACGGTGGTCCTAAACCCTAGGGTTTAGGGTTTAGGGTTTAGGGGTGTAGGGTTTAGGGGTTTAGGGGTTTAGGGTTTAGGGTGTAGGGTGTTTCCAGAGTACGGGTAGTTCTCTAAATTAGGGGTTCCTTTAAGGAATCTCTAAGGGCTTCTATAAGGGTACTTAAGGGTTCTATAAGGGTCTTTCTCTAAATTAGGGTCCCTTTCGGGTTCCTTTTTACAAGGGTGCAGCTTTATATATTCGGGATCTAAAAGGGGACCCTAACTTAGAGAACTACCCGTATAGTGGTCCTAAACCCTACAAAACCCTAAGCACCTTTCCCAACAAGGTTAGAAGCAGAGGCAGGTCGGGTTGCGGTTTGTGGGACTCTTGATCTTGGATTTGCCGGGCGCAACCCAGCAGCCGAGGTACCATTACAATGGTACGAGTGTGTTCGGCTCCAGTTGTGCCCGGATTGCACATGGTGAGAGCATGGTATGACGCTGGTGTATTTTAATTTTCGACCCCCAAACTCAGTTCTGAACCGGCATGCCCCCAAAGCCCTACCTTCAACTTGTTTCGGGCACTCGAAACTTGAATCCGTGTATACGTCTGCTCCTTTACAGAAATCCTGGCCAAATCTCAGGTCTTTGCTCGGAACCCCAATTAAACTCATTGTGCAGTTTACCTGTCTCAAGGTTTGATCTTGCTCTTTTTCCGCAAGTTGACACGCTTAAACACCAACTCGAAGTCATGGACTGGGGGTTTCGGGGCCTCACTCCAGTTTGGACCAGGTGGAGCCGTGTAGTTTCGTGTGTTGAGCAGTCATTTGTTGCCAGTCGTTTCCCAGGCCAGACTTGGGACGCATTCCTCGTTGGTTTGTGCCACTCTGCTGCAGGCTTTGGGATTAGGGTCCCCTTCTAGGTCCCCAATAAGGGTGAGGCGCCCTTACAAAAAGGACCCCGTCCGGCACCGTCCTGAAGGTGTACGTAAGCATGGAGAAAAGATGAGAATTGAGACTTTCCCGCACTTGTCAGGGTGCTGCGAAGTTGTTCAAAGTTGCACTCTCCATCAAAAGTCGCCGATCACGATCGTCTCTCTGCTTCGAGATGCTGTACTTGGCGCAACAACTTTGTAACATTCAAACCTCGCATGTCTTGCGGCGAGAGTCTTGGCTTGCCGTTATCACGAAGCCAAAGGTTGTTCGGTGCAGTTTGCATGTAGCACTTGTCAAGAGATTGACATATGAGAACTGTACAAGACCACCGCCCGACACCTTCTCTTCAGCTCCAGTAAAACTGCTGCATGGCGGTTTCGTAAGGGATTTGAAGTCAGTTTCGTATTGAAGAACCACCACGGCTCCTAAGCTTTCAGCCCGAGGCCCTGCATCCAAGCCCCGCTAGGCGTTTGGGTAATTACTGGCAGTGCCACACAGACACACTAGACCCTAAAGCCTAAACCCTATAAGCCCCTAAGCCTAAACCCTAAACCGAAACCCTAAAACCTATAAGCCCCTAACCCCCTAAACCGAAACCCTGAACCCTACAAGGGCCCCTAAACCATCGCAAGAGCCCCTCAGCCCCCAAGCAAGGCGAAGCTGGCGATCCGGCGTGCCAGAGCTTGTACTGCTACGTCGATCCATCGGCATCTTGTCGTTTTAGGGTTTAGGGTTTAGGGGTTTAGGGTTTAGGGTTTAGGATTTAGGGATTAGTTTTGAATTTGGAAGACTCGGCAGGCTGAACCGGGGCTTAGGGCGTCGGGTTTAGGATTTACCATACCCCGAAGCAACCTACGCACAAAAAGACATCCCAAAGACATTACTCCCCACAGGTAGGATTTATAGAGTCCAGGTGGGTTACATTGTTGTATTGCACACTTTGCACAGTTCTATCAACATGTAGGATTTCATATGGTATTGCCAAGATCATGGAGCCTGATATTGACCTTGAACTCGAAACCTTGACAGGCGAAGGGAACACTTGGGCTGAAGAGGCTGTTTGGGCTGAGAATTTCAGCTTCTATATAGGGCTTCGGATTCAGGATTCTTCGACCCTAAACCCTGAATCGTAAGGCCATGAGAAACCTCGGAGCGCTCAATGCTGTGAAAACTCGAAGGGGCAGGCTAAGTGGAGCCCTTTTCGAACCTTCTGCAACCAAAAAGCAGCCCAGAACTGCAGCACCGCCAGCTATCCGAGTGTTTACTTCCTTGGGATGGACCTGCAGCGCCTCGGCTGGACGAGCGGTAGGGTTCTAAGCGGGGTGGGTTTAGGGTTCAGGGTTCCAGGGTTCTAAGTGGGCTTTATGGTTGTGATGGAGGGTGTTAGGATGTAGGGTCGTGCTGCTCAACGCTTCTCGAGCTACTAGGGCTTGGGTAGGGGCTAGGGTGCCCAGACCCTAAACCCCTAAACCCCTAAACCCCAGAGTGAGTATTATGTTACGAGCTCCAAGGTTGCCTCTGACTTTCATTTTCGAGTGCTGCGGTTCACAAACTTAGCTCAAGGATTGGAAGCTCCGCAACCCTTTCCCGTCAATATAAGGGGCCTTGTTAATTAGATTTAATTGGGCTTTGAGCTCTCTCACAGTACAGGTAATAAGGAATCTAAAGGAATAGTATTGGTAGTTATTGAGGCTTCAAAGGCCTTTAGGGCTGAAGGCTTTGTTCGAGGGTTTGGGCTTGAGGGGCTTCACGGTTCCAGGTTAAGCTTAGGTGGTTAGGGTTTAGCCCCAAACCTGTCAACCCTCTTCCCCAAAGCCATATAGACCTTAGCCCTGAAACCCTAAACCCTAAACCCTAAAGCCCTGAAGCCATAAACCCCTAAACCCCTAAACTGTACACCCTAAACCCTAAAACACTGAAACCCTAAAACCCTAAACCCCTAAACCCTTAAACCCTGAAGTGACAGCCCTGAAGCCCGAACCTCCAGTCCCAACGCAGCCTCAGCAAGCGTAGAGGGAGAATTATTACGGTTAAGGCTTTAGGGCTTTAGGGTTCAGGGCACTTCAGGGTTTCGGGCTTTAGGGCTTCAGGGCTTAAGGGTTTTAGGGTTTAGGGTTGAGGTCAGACCGAGCCACAGTGCATACACGAAGCCCTTAGAGAATTTGTCCCCGCTTAATTGATAGCCCACCTACAAAACCGCACCAGGAGCCCTAAACGCACCGGACCATCAGCGCCCGAATCACCGAACCTGAATGTGTGTACCCATAGGCCCCATACTATTTCGTTTTGGGATTACCTACAGGATTCTATATATGAACCCCAAAAAGGAACTACCTTAGGGCCTATGGGTAGGGCTGAGCGTTTAGCACCTGCACCCTGGACCCCGAAGTCAGAGTCCGAAAGCCCTGCAGGTACTCCTACCTGTCCTGCGGCTACCAAAGCGGTCAAGATGACCTCACTGCGCAAATCCGGGGTCAACTGGCTGGGCAAACCTACACCTTTGCCGCTCGATACAAGAAGGAGGCCTGAGTAGGGCCTACAAGCTCTAAACCCCAACCGTTCCCTAAACACGAAAAAGCCTTCACCCGAAACCCCAATTTAATCAAAGCCCTTTGCGGTTTCGGAAACTTATCGATTGTGCCATTCTTAGCCTCGAGTTTGTTTACAGAGTTTTTCCGCGCTTCGACCTTGAGAGTCCTGGGATGGAAGCCTGGATAACTGTCAACAATCACTCCTTGGCTTACGGAGCAGTCGATGATAATATTCATGTACCCATATCGGGTTTAATAGTATAATATACCCATTCCTTGGCTTACGAAACTGTAGGTGATAATAGTATGTTCATGTACCCATATCGGTGATAATAATCATGGCATACTCATGTAACCATATATGGTTTGACGTTCCTCGTAAGTCTCTTTGGCCCAGAGGGCCAAAACCCCGTAACGCCCCAGGCCCATCCTATCCGAAACCCTGCAGCCCTGCAGTCGAAAGCCTGCCTCCTAATATAGGGTTCTGGGCTCCTGTATACTGTATAGTATAGTTATAACAAGGAACCCTAACAATAATATAGGTCATTATTTAGGCTTCTACATTACGCCCTAAAACCTTACATCCCGGTGCGAATTTCTTGCAGCCTTCGAAAACACTACCCTAGCTACACCCTACATAGATTATTAACTCCATACCCTTACAGTAAACACTCAACCCTAAACCCCAAGGTCTACACAGTGAGCCCTAAACCCTGCACCCCATAATCCTTAACTCCAAACCCTCAGCCCCAAACCCAGAACCCTATATGCAGGCCTATAGGCCACAGCCCTCCAAGGCATATCCGGCAAGCAGCCGCCCATGGCACTACGAGCAGGCTTTGGGGTGAGGAAGAAAGATGCAGCTTCCTGGGGCCCTTTCTAAAGGTTCCCATAAAGGTTACAGGTTACAGTGCTCTAAATTCGGGTCCCTTCGAGAGTGCTTGTCTATTTCTACTGTTTTTTAAATGAGGGTGCCGTGCCATTATGGGGCCCTGAAAGGGACTCTAATTTAGAGAACTACTTGGAAAGGCGACAGTGCTATATGGGTTTCGTAAGGGATTACGGGTTTAGGGTTTCCATTGGGTATCAGGGTCGGGGAGGCACAAACTCTTGGGAAAAGGAGAACCAGGAATTTTCCGAAGTCCCATCGGCAAGATCCGAAACCCCCACATATTGTTTGTAAGGCTCTGTAAGGATTTTGGGGTTTAGGGTTCAGGGTTTTAGGGTTTAGGGTATAGGGCTGCAAGGGATGTTATACCGAGTTCGTTGCAGGGTTTCCCGAGCTCCAAGCTGTAGCCGCAATCTGAGCCTTCAAACCCCGAGCAAGGTCGTGTTAAACACGTTTAGGTTTAAACGGTTTAAATTTAAACGTGTTTAGGCGTGTTTAGCCAGTGGGTGGATGTTTGTTTATTTGTTTGAACATCATCGTCGCATTGAGATGTTCAAACCATGGGTTAAACATGTGAATAACGGCGTTTAAGCATGTTTAAACACGCGTGGCGAACGTATTTAAACCCATGCTTAAACCCATGTTTAAACAGTTCCCTGCATGACGCACATCCCCAATGTGGTTAAGCCCGTGTTAGGACACATGTTTAAGCAGTTCACTGACTGCCCCGAATGTGTTTTAATCAAGCCCATGTCTAAACACATGTTTAAAGAGTTGCCTGACTGCCGCACATGCCGAATGTGTTTACCCGCATGTTTAAACACATGTTTAAACAGTTCCCTGCATGACACCTTTCCCGAATGTGTTTAAACTCATGTTTAAACACATGTTAAAACAGTTCCCTGAGTGCCCCGAATGTGTTTAAATGACTTAAACCCAGGTTTACACACAATTTTAAACAGTTCCCTGCATGACCCTTTTCCCGAATGTGTTTAAACCCATGTTTGAACGGTTCCCTGAGTGCCCCGAATGTGTTTAAATCAAACCCATGTCTAAACACATGTTTAAAGAGCTGCCTGACTGCCGCACATGCCGAATGTGTTTAAACCCATGTTTAAACACATGTTTAAAGAATTCCCTGCATGACACACACCCCGAAAGTGTTTAAACCCATGTTTAAACACATGTTTAAACAGTTCCCTGCATGGCAAACATCCCGAATGTGTTTAAACCCATGTTTAAACAGTTCCCTGCATGGCAAACATCCCGAATGTGTTTAAACCCATGTCTAAACACATGTTTAAAGAGTTGCCTGACTGCCGCACATGCGGAATGTGTTTAAACCCATGTTTAAGCACTTGTTTAAACAGATCCCTGCATGACACACATCCCGAATGTGTTTAAACCCACGTTTACACACATGTTTAAACATTTGCCTGACTGCAGAAAATGCCCAATGTGTCCATGTTTAAACGCATGCTTAAACAGTTCCCTGCATGACATGCATCCCGAACGTGTTTAAACCCATGTTTAAGCACATGTTTAAACAGTTTCCTGAGTGGTTGGAGTTTAAGTTTACTGGCGTCTCAAGGCCAAGGCTAGGAGTCTGGGAGTCCACGGCTTTACAAAGGCTCCAGGCCTAGCTTTACTGGCCTGCCCCTAACCTCGCCCTAGGCACGGTCTACACAATCAGTCTCGTGTTTGGTTCAACCTGGCTTAGACATGTTTCGACATGGCTGATGAGAGGATTCTATGAATGCGTTTAAACACGTATGTTTAAACATTTCGCTTCATGTTTAGTTTAGTTGGTTTAAACTTGTTTAAACGGTTCGAACCTGACTCGTCAGAGGGTTCTCTCGGTTTAAACATTTGGCGTTTAAACATCGGTGCGTTTAAACAGTTTAAAGATAATGCCCTCCCCGACCCTGACCCGAGTCCCAGTAAGTCTGAAACCGCTAAAGCTTGCACCCTGAACCCTATAACCAAACCCTCAGTCCCAAACCCCAAATCCTAATCCAATGTTCCGAATCCCAAACTCTATACCCCCAATACAGAGGCCTGAGTAAGTAGCCATAGTGTTGGAAAGGTGTTCTTTGTATCACTATAGCCCAACACCCTATTCCAATCATAGTAACCTTAACCCCTCAACCCCCAAGCCTCAAATCCACAGAGCCCTCCGTGGAAGGATGGAGAGTGGACAGGATCCGTCGCCAGCTTCTTCAAGAAGGTGGTGGCCCGGCAGGAACAGGGAAGGACGGTTTGTCTTCGGTGTTTGGAGTTTTCGGTTTAGTTCTCCAAATTAATAAGGGTCCCTTTCAGGGCACTTTCTCCAAAAGGTCGCCGGACTACTTTTTGGGCCTAAAAAGGGACCCAAGTTTAGAGAACTACCCGCAAGAGGTTAGAAGAAGCGTTGCTATGAGGGCCACAAGTACCGGGGGTTACGATTTGGTTTGGGGGTTAACTTAGGGTGTAGGGGTTTGGAGGTTTCCGGATCTTGGGGAGTTTGTGGGTGTGAGACGTAAGGGTTTGGAGCTACCCCGGCTCTGGCTTTGGGTGTAGGGCAAGGTTTATAGGACCCATATCCTAAGCGCTAAACCCTAAACAATATAAACTGTACGGAGCGTAAAGGAACTTCATGTTGATTGGCACCCTATTCTGATTCTGGCAGAGATGCGAGTTCCTCTGCGGGGTCTTTCCGTTTTATGAGCCTGTTTCCTAGTCTGTGCTGTCGAGTTAATACAGAAGCCTCGATCATTCCTCATGCTAGCTATACTATACCTTTAAACCCTAAACCCTAAACCCTAAAGCCCTAAACCCTAACCCCAAACCCCTAAACCCTAAGCCCTATGACCCCTAAACTTAAATCCCTCGAAAAATTCGACCCTAGAATGCGCACCCAGCGCCTTGGAGCCGAAACTTTCATCATCGACTCCGAGCCGGAAGCCCGAAAAACATAATAATCTAGGGGCCTGAAATTAATAAATAGAACAGGGTTTTTGGAGCCCATTATATTTAAGAGCCTCCGGCTCAGGCCACCGACCCCGTGGGCGACAGACCAGAAGCCGAATCCCTAAACCACGCCCAAGACCTGAGCTGATTGTCCATGCGCAAGCCTTGAGCGTCCACGCGTGGAAGCACGGAAGCCCATGCGGCGTCTCGGAGGT